ACTAGTGCCTAAGATATTGATGTTTATGCATTCCATTTCATTCTTGACAACTTCCAATTTTCCCAGTTTCATACTTCGTATATTCCACGTCCCGATTTTTAATGGATATTTATAGCTGTTTCTCTTCATTTTGAGTTGTTGCCCATCAATAAATGAAGGTCCCGCGGGCTTTTCTCTCACATGCTTTACTCCATTCACGTTATCACAGTCAACTCTACTTTCTGGTAGCATAGTGGTCACAAATCGGGCTGGTAACCTCAAGGTCAGCAGTTCGAAACTACCAGCTGTTCTGCGGGAGTAAGATGCAGCTTTCTGCTCCTGTAAAGATTTATAACCTCACTATGAGTCAGAATCGACTCCATGGTACTTAACAACAACAAATAATAATATAACAAAATGCACATATATTTCATACTAACAAAGTATGGGTAAATGTCATGATGCCTGGGATTTGCTTCTCAGAAAAAAAAGATAAATCAAGTGTGGCAAGATGTTCATTTTATTATGTTATGTATTTGATGAAGTTCTGATTTTTTTCATAATAAAAATAAATGACAACCAATTATTTGCTGTGAGCCAACCATTTGCTAAGTACTTAGTCGGACTTACTTGATTTCTTTTTCTTTATCAGTGTTTTAAAGCCACTGCCACAAGAGAATGTTGCATTTGCCCCAGTTTGTTCATGTAACATGTAACTATTGGTCTTTTTTGCCCAATATTCTAAAAGTGAGCAGCATAGTTTCTGTAATCTTTTATTCTGCTTATAACTCTGGTTCTCACTGACTGAGGCCTGTTGGTTTTTTTTTAAAAAAATAATAAAACATGAGATTTCTTTTAAAGAGAAAAAGTATGACAAATAAGACAAGGAATAAACCAGAATGGCTTTAATATTTCCTTCCAGTGTCTTATGCCTAGTATCCTTGAACTCAAAATGCTAAAATGTAACAAAGAGAAGAGAAAAATTTTATTAATAAATTATTTCTTACATATTAATTTTTTAAGACTTTTGTTATCTGGTTCCTTTTCCCATTGGATTAGGCCTCTGATAGTTCAAAGGATAGAGCAGTATGGTATAAAAGGCTACTGTGTGGTTAAAAAATTAATTTAGTGTGAATTTTAAGACTTAACTCAGAAACGTTAATGAATATCTACTTGTTGTCTTCATACCAGTATAGTAATGGTTATGTATTCTTTACATTATAAAATTAGCAATATATAAAACATTTATTTAATCTTCTCTGAATCATTTTATCTAAGATTACTCAACATAAAAGAAGTAGAAAAGAACATTTAGAGTTTTCTGTCATATGAGAAAAATAATTTTAAGAAATATACAACTGTAAACTCTATGCACTAGTTGTTGTTGTTTTTTAACGTTTTATTTTGTGCATTAGTTTTTTAGTAAGATATTTTTCAACTAAAGACAGAGACATTACAATCCCAACCAAAGGGTTTCTGGTTCCAACAATAAGATAGTAATTACCTGATGATAGCATACTTACTTATGATAAAACATGCGAGCCATGCCCATTCTTTGCTTTTCCCCTCCTGACAAGACATCTTTCCAGTCCATAACAGCATCCCATCCTTAAAAACATTGTTTTAAATTATAAATTACTTAATTATTACTGTTTCTACCCTGAACAAGTGACTTCTGGCAAGTTTAAATTATTAATACAAAGCAAACCAAAATACATGGAGTAACTGACAAGTTTACGTTTATGCAGGTAGGTATCAGCCAGGATGTACACCTAGGCTTATCTGATGCTTTTGTATTTTATCTGTGTCAACTCCTACAACATCTTAAATAAATTTCTATTGTATATTCATCCAAAGAACAAGGCTTCTGTTTTCTAAAAAATGGGTAGCTCTACATACACTGATATAGAAATGTGACTAAGAAATTTTTATATCAAAAACTTAAAATGCCATCTGATTTAAAGTTCTTGTTTCTAGGGGAACTGTTGAAAAAACTTTCCATGTGCCTTAATTTTGTGGTATTTATGACATATAAACAGAAAATTTTAAAACAGGCTCAGACTGCTAAATCACCCACTTCCATCGAGTCAATTCCAACTCATAGTGTAGAAGTGCCCCACTGGGTTTCCAAAACTGTACATCTTTATGGAAGCAGGCTACCACACCTTTCTCCCACAGAGCAGCTGGTGGGATTTTAACCACTCTGCCACCATGACTCCTCAGATTTTAAGCCAAGAGTATTTCACCACAATTTAAGTTGCTAAATTGTGGAGAAATATTCTTGGCTTAGATTTTGTTTTTTTGTTTCCTACTGAAAACAAGGCAAAAGAGAAAAATTATTTGGGTCAAAGGAAACTTCAACATAATACATCTTAATAAATCATGTCCTTTTTATACCAAACCCCAAAGTTTTTAGTAACCAATATTGCATGATCATGAACACATAAATCAGAATTCTGAGTCATAATATTGTCTCTGATTCTGATTTACTGAGAGTAGGTCAGCTAAAAAGGGAGTTATTTCCTACTTCCTATAGATGTACAAGGAGCTCTGGTAGCATAGTGGTTACGAATCGGGCTGTGAACTGCAAGGTCAGCAGTTTGAAACAACCAGCTGTTCTGCAGGAGAAAGATGAGGCATTTTGCTCCTGGAAAGATTTATAGCCTCAGAAACCTTGTATAGGGTCGCTAGGAGTTGGAACTGACTCCACGGCACACAGCAAAGATGTATAGATTATTTTAATTTGGTGACGCTTCTCATTTCTTTCTATTGTATAGCTTGTCTTGGTGTATAGGAGTATAGGAGTCCTGGTGTGGTGTGCCAGACTGCAAAGTCATTTGAACTGCAAGGTCGGTGGTTCAAACTCACCAGCTGTTCCTTGGAAACCCTATACAGGGTCACTATGGGCTGTTTGCAAAGGGAATGCTTTCAGTTTCTCTCCAGGAGACTAATGTTGGCTGTTGGATTTGTTAATATAGGTCCTTAATTATGTTGAGAATTTCCCCTTCTCTTACTATTGTGTTGAGTGTTTTTATTAGGATCAGATGTTGGATTGTGTTAAATGCCTTTTCTGCATCAATTGATATGCTCATGTATTTCTTTTCCTTTGTTTTATTTATGTGGTAGATTACCTTGACTGTTTTTCTAATATTGAGCCATCGTTTCATCCCTGATATGAATCTCACTTGGTCATGATGTATGATTATTAATTTTTTATGTGTTTTTGAATTGTGTTGGCTACAATTTTGTTGAGAATTTTTGCAATCATGTTCGTGAGCAATACTGGTCTGTAATTTTCTTGTTTAGTGATGTCTTTGTCTGGTTTTAGTATGACAGTTATGCTTGTTTCATAAAAAATATACTCAGGAGATTTCCACCTTTTCCTATGTTCTGGAATAGTTTGAGTACAATTGGTGTCAGCACTTCTCTGAATGATTGATAGAATTCACCAGTAAAGCCATCTTGGTCTGGACTAGTTATGCTGAGAGTTTTTTTTTAATGATCTGATCAATGTCTTCTTTTGCCATGGGTCTGTTCAAGTTTTCTACTTTTCTTGCATTCACTAAATCTTGTGCTACTATGCTAACTATGTTACACACCCTTATTTATCTCCATGCTACACCTGAAGACACAAAAGATAATGTTATGTAATTCCAGTCCTCTCTGACTCCAAAGCCCACAATCTTAATCACACATTTAGGCTTCTATAATGCAACCGGCATGGGAAATAGAACATAAAATCCATGCCAATATAAACCTGGAATTCTAGTTTGATATTTTAGTAGTTTTTTTCTAGGCTACCAAGTTTACATGCATTATCAAATTATTTGAAAGTGTGACTGTAACAAAATAATTTTAAGCTCAAATGCATATTATTGCCACTCATAAAAATGTCTTACACTGAAAAACCATGATGCAGAAGTGTCTACACTTTATCTCTCTGTGAACTACCCAGGAGAGAGATAGGGGGAAAGGTATTTGTAAGACTTTAAAACAAAAAACCTACTTCCATTAAGCTGACTTTCACTCATAGCAAGGCTATATGACAGAGTAGAACTGTCCCATAGTGCTTCCAAGGCTGTGAATCTTCATAGAAACAGACAAGCACATCTTTCTCCCACCAATGGCTGGTGAGTTTGCACTGCAAAGCTTTAGGTTAGCAGCGCTGTGCTTAACCACTGCACCATCAGGGCTTCTAAACACCTAAACTCTACTTTTACTCAGGTGCTTATAGCCCAATAATAGCCTATATTCAAAGTAAGCCATTGGCCAAATATTTACCCAGCTTAATTTTTTATAAAATAGTTTTGTTGTTGTTGAATGCCATCGTGTCAGTTCCGACTCATAGGGACCCTGTATAGGGTTTTCGAGGAGCAAGTGGTGGGTTTGAACTGCTAATCTTGTGGTTTACAGTCCAGTACTGATCCTATAGATCCACACCAGAAGTCCATAAAAGAAGCTCCAGGTATTAAAAATAAAACGACAGGCTTACCTCCTTCTCTTTGAACTATGTGATAGAGGTGAACATTTCGCAGAATACATTCTAGATCTTGGTCTGTATAGCCTTTATCATGCATTTCATCCACTGAATCAGGATAAATGACTTGATCCCGAAGACTTCCAAGAGACATGTATGGCCTGTAAAACACCATGTACACAATAATCCTAGAGCAAAGTCACTTTTGCTCACTCACTACAACAATCTAATGGTCTGAAAATTTGGGAGAAGTCTTTAAACACCACATTTCTAAATAACATTTGTTACTTGGTGATGAGTATGTCTTTCTCAGGCACTCCAGGATAATCCTCTTATGTTTAGGTAAAAAATTATTCAGATATTTTATATCTATAGGAAAAGCTTCAACAAGAAATAATTTGGTATTTTCAGCAGAGAAATATATATTGTCTCTTATTGAATTAGATGAATATTGTTTTGTACTTCATTTAAAATTATTTGGGTTAAATAGTATAGGGTTTTGGGGTTTGACTCAGCAATATAAACAAAACAAAAATAATATCATTCATAATAAGAGAAATGCAAATCTAAACTACACTGAATTTTTTTATCAGATGGGCAAAACTTCAAAAGCTTTTAACTCACTCAGCAACCAGGTCTATGGGGAAATATGTGCTCTCATGTCATGGTAAAAATGCAAATGGTACAACCCATTCAGAAATTTGGCAAACCAACATATCATTTACTCTTAAAAGCTCTTCTGCTAATTTACCCTGAAGATATACTTGTAAGACTATGTATGAGCCTATCCAGTGTTGCATTATTTGTAAATGAAAATATTGAAAACAAACTAAATGCCCATGCATAGGAGACTGATTGAACAAATACAGCACATTCACTATGGAATTATAAAAAAGAATGAAGATAATCTGTATGAACTGATGCGGAATGGTTTCCATGATATACTGTTAAGCTGAAAAGCAAAGAATAAAGACAGATGTATAGCAGGACTTCTCAACACAGTCACTATTGGCATACTGAGTAGAAAAATTCTTTGCTGTCAAAGGCTGTCCTGTGCACTGCAGAATGTCTAGCAGAACCCCTAGACTCTATCCACTAGGTGCCAGGAGTACTTCCTACAGCAGTGACAACAAAAATGTCTCCAGATACTGCCAGATGTGTGGGGGACAAAACCATACCCAGCTGAAAACCACTAACATAAACAATACTACCTTCAGTGTGAAAAAAAAAAAAAAGCATGTATCTGCTTATAAGAGTATTTACATATGGAAACACAGGAAGGGTAGATGAAAACACAGAAACAAATTAAACTCTTTATCTACAGGATGTGTAGGAATAAGGTGGAATGGATAGGGAAGGGACCTATCCGTTAGATGCCTACCTAAGTATTCTTTCTGTGTAGTTTTACTTATAAAATCATATTGAAGTGTTATAAAATTAAAAAAACAAAACAAAATTAGTCTAGCAAGATAAAGAGACTATAAAACAGAAGCAAACTAACTAAATGATATATCAATTTGTTAACAGCATAACAAGACAGAATAAAAGAGAGAGAGAAGAGAAGGGAAGAATAGGGAAAAGAGATAAATAACCTAAGTAGAAGGACTGCTAACCACAAAGTTGATTATTCAAAACCATCAGCCACTCCTTGGAAACCCTATACAGGGTCACCATCAGTCAGAACTGACTCAACAACACTTAACACCACCAACAACCATGAGCATAATACTTTGGCTACATAATTACAGTCTGAACCAAAAGTAGGACAAGAAATCCTGAATGCTATTTTGTTGTTAGCAGTGATAAATGTGTAGCAATTCTGAAACTATTTTATATGTATTGTAGGATTGGCAAAATAAGCAAACTTTAAAAAATATTTTTAGAAGCCTGGGTGTTCAATGTAGGAGAAATGAGACACAAATATGAAACCCAGGAAGGGAAGAAAACACACACACACACACACAAAAATCCAAGAAAAATACCTGTGTAATACAAAACCTAAATGAGAGTACAAGCAGGAATTATTGATATTTAAAAAACAAAACAACAATAAAAAACCAGCAACACTTAATTCCTAGCTCTGTCCATTCAAAGAATCTAGAAGTAATAATATCTAGCATTCAGACTTTGCTTTCTAAAATAGCATTTCTTCTTAAAAAGAACCAGGACTCCTTTGGAAAATTACAACAGTAATAATTGATGCTGGCAAAATTGTCAATGGACACAAAAACCACAAAGAAAAGATATTAGGGAACAGAATATTTACACATTTCCAAAAGTATCTTCTTACAGATTAAGTGCAAAAGAGAAAAAGGCACTTTTACAGTGGCTGTAATCTTTGCCACAACTTTCTCTCACTGTGGGACTGGTGGGTTTGATTACAGCTGAGTGCTTAACCATGGTACCACCACAGGGCTCCTTACTACAAAGAACAGTATTGAGGAAATTCACAAAACTATCATAAGAACTGTATGTTTACTGTTGTTGTTAAGTGCAGTCGAGTTGGTTTCAACTCAAAGCAACTCTATGTAGGGTTTCTGAGACTATAAATCTTCGTGGGAGCCAAAAGCCTCATCTTTGTTTCTCAGAGTGGCCGGCAGGCTAGAATCCCAGACCTTGTGGTTTGCATTCCAGGGATTGTCATATGCAGCCAGTGCGGTCCCAAGAACTGTATACACAATAGAATTATATTGTTATTGGTAGATGCCGTCAGAGTGACCCTATGAACAACAAAACGAAACACTGCCTGGTCCTGTGCCAAAATCATAATTGTTATATTTGAACACATTGTTGTTGCAACTGTGCCAATCCATTTTGTTGGGGGTATTCCTGTTTTTCAATGACCCCCCACTTTCTAAGCAAAATGTCTGTCTCTAAGAACTGGTTCTCCTAACAACATGTCCAAAGTACAAGAGACAAAGTCTTGCCATTCTTACTTCCAAGGAACATTCTGGCTGTACTTCTTCCAAGACAAATTTGATAGTTCTTCTGCCAGTCCATGGGGCTTTCAACATTCTTCTCCAACACCATAACTCAAATACATCAATTCTTCTATAGTCTTTCCTATTCACTGCCAAGCTTTCACATGCACACGAGGCAATTGAAAATACATTGGCCTGGGTCAGATACACCTTAGTCCTCAAAGTGACCTCTTTGTTCTTCAACACTTTAAAGAGGTCTTTTGCAGCAGAATTGCTACAGTGCAATTTGATTTATTGACTGCTGCTTCCATGAGCATGATTATGGGTTCAAGAAAAATGTATTTTCGCATACATATGAGGCAATAGAAAATACCATGGCTTAGGTCAGGTGTACCTTAATCCTGAAATTGACATCTTTGCTCTTTAACCCTTGAAAGAGGTCTTGGACAGCGGATTTGCCTAATGTAATAAGTTCATTAATTTCTTGACGGCTGTTTACTTGTACTTTATTGACTATGTACAAGCTTTTGACTGTGTGGATCATGACAAGCTATGGAGTGTTGAATGTGGATTCAACCAAAACAAAGTCTTACACAGCTTCAATATTTTCTGTTTTTACCATGATGCTATTTATTGGAGTCCTTGCAGGGCACTGTGGGATAATGCACTGGACTGCTAGGCTGGCCTGAACCACAAGGTCAGAGGTTCAAATTCACCAGCTGCTCCTAGGAAACCCTATACAGGGTTACTGTGAGTCAGAACCAACTTGATGACACTTAACAACAACAATAACATTCATTGGTTGGAATCCTGGTGTGGCACTGCTAACCAAAAGGCCAGTGGTTCAAATCCACCAGATGAAACCCTATACAGGGTTATTCTGAGTTGAAACTTGATGACATTTAACAACATCAATTTATTGGTCCAGTGGTAAAGGGTTTTCATTTTCTTTGCATTGAAGTTCAATACATAATGAAAACTGTAGTATTTAATCTTCCGCAATAAGGATTCAAGTCCTAGATTTTATCATCTGCATATAACAAATTGTTAATGATTCTTCTTCCAATCCTGATGGCATGTTCTTTTTCATATAATTCCGTTTCTTAGATTATATTAAGATTACATTAAGGTACACTTCATACTGAAGTCTGTATTCTTTGATCTTCATCATTAAGTACTGCATGTTCTATTTACTTTCAGCAAGCAATGTTGTGTCATCTGTATATGTTCTTCTTCATATAATCTATCTTCTCCGACTATTTGCTCAGTATACATATTGAATAAGCATGGTGAAAGGATCCAGCTCTGGTGTACACCTTTCCTGATTTTAAATCATTCAGTAACTACTTGTTCTGTTCTAATGACTGCCTCTTGGTCTATGTATGTACACGTTCTTCATGAACACAATTAAGTGTGTTTGGAATACCTATTCTTCACAATGATACCCACAGTTGTGATCCACACAGTTGAATGACTTTGTATAGTCATGAAGTACAAGTAAACATCTTTCTGGTATTCTCTGCTTTCAGTGAAGATCCATCTGATCCTTTTCTGAATCCAGCTCCTTGTCAATGTAATATTGCAACCATTTTTTAGTTATCTACAGCAATATTTTATTTGCACGTGATGTTAATGATATTGTTGGATGATTTGTGCATTCCACTGGGACACCATTCTTTGCAATGGGCACAAATACAGATCTCTTCAAATCAGTTGACCAGGAAGCAGTCAAATTTTCAAGCTAGATTCAGAAGTGGATGTAAAATAAGAGATAACATTGCTGATGTTACATGGATCTTGAATGAAAGCAGAGAATACCAGAAAGATGTTTACTTGTACTTTATTGACTATGTAAAAGCTTTTGACTGTGTGGATCGTGACAAGCTATGGATAACTTTGTGAAGAATGGATACTCCAAAATATAACTATGCTCATGAAGACCTGTACATAGGCAGGTGTTAGAACAGAACAAGGGGAGACTGAATGCTATAAAATCAGGAAAAGTGTGCACCAGGGTTGGATCCTTTCACCATACTTATTCAAGCTGTATGCTCAGTAAGTAATCGGAGAAATTGGATTATATGAAGGAGAATATGGCATCAGCATTGGAGGAAGACTCATTAACAACCTGTTATATGCAGATGATACAACCTTGTTTTCTGAAAACACAGAAGACATAAAATACGTATTGATGAAGATCAAAGAATACAAACTTCAGTATCTAAATGTAAAGAAAACAA